GGGAAGGAGTAGTGTCCGGGGCAGCCCCAGAGTCGACCTCCGAAGCACCAAGCACACCACCCCCAGAGGCAGCACCAACACCAGCTCCAGACCCAGGCTCTCCAGAAACCGAAGGGACACCCTCACCCCCAGACGCAGCACCCCCAGACTCCGCACCAGCACCCCCAGACTCCGCACGACCAGTACCAGCCCCCGGAAGACAAGAGTCAACTGCAACCCGCGGCTCAGCTCCAACTCCAGCACCCCCAGAACCAGAGACCTGTACAGGGACAGTCGCAGGACCAACCTCTCGAGAGGGAGCACCTGCAGGAGGCGGCGAGGAAGACTGTGGGGAGGGAGGCTGTACAGGGGGGGCTACCGAAGGGGGAGGGCTAGCCTGAGACACACCAGACGGGGCTGGACCAGGGGGGGGAGGCTGTACCGGGGGAGCAGGCGGGGGAGCGGCGGTCAGGAAGAGAGGGGGGGGAGGGACCGGGAGACCTCGACTGGGGTACCTGACGTAGTAGGGGGTGGACTCCTCGAAACGGACGTCACGGGAGTCAAAGAACCGGTGAGAGGGAGGGTGGTAAAAGGTGAAGTCAGAGGAGTCCTCAGGGAAACCAAGGAAGACACAAGGAACGGCGCGAGGCGAGAGCTTGTCCGCAGAGGTGTCGCGGACAAGAGCCAAGCACCCCCAGACACGAAACCTCGACGCGACACCAGGGGACCCTGTCCAAAGACTGGTCGGTGAAGCCTCCGGCCGAGAGACGCGTGGCCAGAGGTTCAGCTGGTGCGCGGCGTACCTGACCGCGTATGGCCACAGGAAATGGGGGGCACGGGCGTGAGTCAAGGAGGTGCGGGCAATCTCCATGACCAGGCCTATGCGACGCTCAGCAACCCCATTCTGCTGTGGGGACTCCGGAAGCGTCCAGGACTGACGAATGCCCTGTTCGCGACAGAATCCAGCGAGAATGCCGGAGCGAAACTCGCCCCCGCGGTCGGAGTGGAGACAGCTGACACGACGACCACGAGTGTCCTGGGTGGTAAGCAACCACCTGATCAGCGTAGAAGTCACCTCAGACTTCCTCGCCAGGGGGAACACTGTGGTGTAGCGGGAGTAGTCGTCAACGACCACCAAAAAGAAACGCTCACGCTCAGGGCCAGGGCGAGGAGAGGGGCCCCAGACGTCCAAGTGCAGCGTCTCAAAAGGCTCGGTGGCCGGACGAAGGGAGGAGGAGTGAGGGGTGGCGCGCAGCCTACCCTCGACGCAAGGACCGCACGGTGGTGCAAGGGACGGCGGCAGCGACGGCAAGACACGCGGGAGACCTAAGACAAGACGCTGACGAGACATAGCGCGAAGACGAGGAGGAGAAGGGTGCCCCAGCCGGTGGTGCCACAAAACGGTGGGGTGGGCAAGCGACCGACAGGAGCACGACGCAGCGACCGGACTAGACGGAGGAACCTGACAAGACACAGCTACCTGGGGGGACGGAGCAACCTGGTGAGACGCGAGGACTCGAACGGGGGGCAAAACAGGGGCCGGGGGCAGGAGGGGCGGCTGTGGCTGCGGCTGCGGCTGCTGCTGCCGCTGCTGCTGCGGCTGCTGCTGCTGCTGCAGTCGCTGCTGAGGGCGCGGGCCAGTGTGAAGAGTGTAGAGACCGGAGCCCGGCTCAGCAGCAAAAGTGGCGAGGGGCTGGTAAGAGTCCCCGTCAACACACACCGCAGTCTCTCCAGAAGGCTCAAACCACACACCCACGTGCTGACTCACGAGGGGTCGCACGCCCACCAAGTTCCGGGAGAACGAGGGGACGTGAAACCCAGTGAGAGACCCAGAAGGAGCAGCCGGACACGGCAAGGTGGTAGTGTGACGCGCGGTGACTGGTCCCGAAGTGGGATCAGCCAGCGCCACAGAAACAGGCGCAGGAAGAGGCGTAAGTGTCGTGCTGTCACGAAAGAAGCAGTGAGAGGCTCCAGAGTCCAGCGTGAACGACAGCGAACCGTCCTCTGAGGTAGCCGCTGGACTAGAGTCTACACAAGAACCTACACTAGCAACAGGCAACTGAGCAAGGCTAGCACCTAAGCTAACAACACCAGAGTAAGCAGAGTCAGAAACACTAGAGTCAACAACAGCATACATAGCATGGGGAGTACCAATCAGATCAACTAACTGCTCAGCAGACATGGCCCACAGAGCGGAGCCGTAGCGCTGAACAAGAGGCAGCCAGTCAGGGGCAGGAGCACCAACCCCGTAGACCAAACGAACCGTGTCAGTGAGCTGAGCAAAGCACTGACCAGGGGGGTGAAACCGGCCACAAGGGTGGCCACGACGAGTGCCTGTCAGAACCTGGTAGGTGCAGGGAGTGTAAGCAGCACCGCGCTGGGTCTGACGCAGCCCCGACCCTGGAGCCAGCTGCTGCCGCTGCTGCTGCTGAGGCTGCTGGGAGGAGAGGGGCTGCTGGTGCTGCAGAAGCTGCTGCTGACGCTGAGCCTGGTACCACGCCGCTGCTCCGCCAACCGGGGCAGGAAGTACAGGAGGCGACTGACGAACTCGGGCGTCGCCACCACCAGCAGGCGCAGTGGAGTCACCAGTCACTGCACGAGGCGCCTCTCCAGGCCCTGAACCTCCACCGCCGCCAGGCGCAACGCCACCTCCACTACCTCCGCCTCCACCTCCACTACCACCACCAGAACCGCCTTTCTTGCCACTCCTACCGCGGGACCGCGACGCAGTCGTAACAGCAGCTGCAGTCGCGTCAGTAGCGGCAGTGGCAAGTGAGGCAGTAAAGGTGGGTAACTGCGGGACTGTGCACCCGTGGAAGAGTGGGGGGGGCACAGCACCAGAGGCAGCGGCTACCGAGCGAAGGTTGCTCTCGACGTCCTTGAGTGCAGACTCAAGGACCTCGACGGTGAGCTCACTAGGGTGCTTCAGCAGAAGCGCGTCGCGAACGGAGGCAAGGCGGTCAGGGAGGCTAGTGGCGATGAAATAGATAGTAATCGCCATAGGGGGAGGAAGCAGTGCAAGCTGTGCCTCAGTGCAAGCAGCGCGGTAACTAGCGTCGAGCGAGCGGAGGTGAGCGATCAAGTCAGCAGAGCGCTCAAAAGACGCCAGGTCAGGAAACAGGAACGGGAGGAACAGGCGGCCAAGAGAGACAGCAGCGGGAGTAGAGTAGCGGGCCTTAATCGCAGTGAGGTACGCAGCAGCGGTGCGAACCTGAGTGAAGTGAACCTCCTCAGACTCAGGGAGGAGGCTGCTGAGCGCGATGCAGGCCGCAGCGTCACGTGACGTCCAAGCCGTCTGGTCAGCTCGCTGAGTGGCAAAGCGGGCTCTAGCGGCGTCGTCAGGGGCAGGTCCTAAAGGCGTAGGGTCGGGGGGCGCAGGTAGGGCACCAGTAGCGTGCGCCCAGAGGGACTCGCCTGCCTGGACCTGACTCTCTAACAGACGGCGAGCACGAAGAAGCCAGACGGAAAAATCAAGAGGTCTACCGTCAGCGTCGAAACGAAGGACACGCTGAGTCGCCATAGCGAAAACGAACGCGAACGGAGAGGGAGGGGACAGCAGTAGATGAGAGGCAAATTAGGGTTCGGCGGTACTCTGGGACAGGGGAGGAGCGGACGCCACAGCGGGCGTGACAGCGGGAGGTAACAGGGGACTAAGCAGCGGAGAACGAGAACGGGCGCAGCGGCGGGCGATGGCAGCGCGTACGGCAGCAGGGGCCAGCAGCGCGCGCAGCGGGCGACGGTAGGGGGGGGGGGCGCAGCGGCGGGCGACGACGGCGGGGCCGCAGCGAGGCGCGCAGGGGGCGGGCGACGGCGGCAGGCGCGGCGGCGACGAGCGCGGTCGCGAGCGACAGCGGCGGGCGCTGCGGGACGGGCGACTCGACGGGGGGAGAGGGCAGGAGCGACGGGACAGGGGGAGGGCGACGTGACGGGGGGAAAGGGGCGGGTGCGACGGGACAGGGGGAAGGCGACGTGACGGGGGGAAAGGGGCGGGTGCGACGGGACAGGGGGAGGGCGACGTGACGGGGGGAAAGGGGCGGGTGCGACGGGACAGGGGGAAGGCGACGTGACGGGGGGGAAAGGGGCGGGTGCGACGGGACAGGGGGAAGGCGACACGACGGGGGGAAAGGGGGGGGGGGGCGCGATGGGACAGGGGGAAGGCGACACGACGGGGGGAAGGCGCGGACGCGACGCGACGGGGGGAGCGCGACGCGACAGGGGGAAAGGGACGGGCGCGACTCGAGGGGGGGGGAAGACGACGCGAAGGGGGGGGGGGGGGGGCGGGCTACGCTACGAACGAGAGCGTGGCTCGGCGCTAGGCTCGGTAACAACGAGAAGGAGACGAACGAGAGCTAGGATCAGGCTCGGGTGGTACGAACGGAGAACGGCGGAACGGGATCCCACAGGATCCTAACCTAACTGATACCATGTCAAAATGAAGAATGGATGATGCATTGATGTTGGTTGGGGTACATATAGCTAACCCTAAGTTTTGTACCCCCTAAGACAAACCTCACTATAGGCTACAACATTTGACAGTTGGGTCCTTATATGCTCCATCTTTGATGCTCCTGCGATGCCGTATGTGATAAGAAACTTAGGATAGCCAGATATCTGCCTATCAGCCGTATGTGACAGCCTGCTATGTGCTGGCTGCTGAGCCGAGCTGGAACTGTCTTGTCCGCTGAGCTGGTGTTTTGCAAGCCGATGTTCACAATGATATGGGCTTGCCATCCTTTCCTACCATAGCCCAATAGCCGGAGAAAACCCTCAGTTCAGAGCGATTTAGGTTGCGAGGTTTACAATGAGTCACCATAGCGTGTCTACTGAACATTCTCAGCAGTTGATTATGCTGGCGGGTTGCGGTTGAAACAGTTGGTTTGGTAACGGCACCTTGTGTGCGGTTACATGAGCAGGAGTGTGGTTACAAGAGCGAGAGTGTGCTCACAGGAGGAGAAGTGTGGTTACAGGAGCAGGGGTGTATTTACAGGAGCATTTGTGTGGTTACAGCAGCAGAAGTGTGGTTACAGGAGCAGGGGCGTATTTACAGGAGTGACGGTACAGGAGCAGGAGCAGGAGTAAGAGCAGGAGTGACGGTACAGGAGTAAGAGCAGGAGTAGGAGCGCACAGAGAGCCAGGCATATGGAGATGAGGAGGTGGAAGACGGAAGCAGTGGCTCCTGCATGGGATTGGGAGAAGCAAGGAGCAGGAAGAAGAAGAACAAGGCAAGGCAAGGTCTGAGAGAAGCAAGGAGCAGGATCTGAAGGCAAGGTCTGAGAGAAGCAAGGAGCAGGATCTGAAGGCAAGGACTGGAGTCGTCCAGTGTCGCGATGCAAGAAGATCACGCTTGGCTTGTTTGAATTGCTCAAATGCAACGTGTGTGCGTGCGTGCATGCATCCGTGCATTGTGCGTGTGCATGTGTATAGGTCACGTACCCGCATACGCGCCAAGAGCATCCCTTTTATGAGGGATAAGAACAGCATCGCTTCTGTACACCACCACCTCGCTGCTCGGTACATCCAGCAACACATCTCCACTCTCCACCAGCGCAACTGCACGCGGCGTTCCATCATCTATCACGTGACCATAGCTGTTGATGAGCGTGCGTCTCGGGAACAACAATTCGCTGGCCTGCTTCTGAGGAGGCACTCCCGAGATGTTCCACACGCCGCCATACATCGGGCTGTATGAGATCCAAAGCGGCTGTCCATGCATGGTCGGAAGCTCCCACTGGTTGTCTATAGAGGAGTACTGCCAATGAGCAATGAGGAGCACATGGGGACGGATCACAAGCGGTTGCATGATGATGAGTGAGCTTATAAGGAATGGTGACTGTACGGCACGGCGTGGCTCACGAAATCCGCGTTTGAGAGCTCTCAGAAGTTGAAATCACTTTTGAGAGATTTCAAAAGTGATTTTAGCAAGGCGTGACTCACGGAATCCACTTTTCCGCGGTGGGGTGTGCCGTGATTTGCGGAGGACCCACAGCACTGGATTCCGTCTGATTAAAAAGCTCGCCATTCCTCTAATAATCTAAGAGATTTCTGCTGGGAAACCTTGACTGCGATGCTGAAAGAATCACCATGAGTTTCGTTGCGACGGAAGGCGGGATGTACTGCTCTCACCTTTCTGGAACTTCCAGATGTGTGAACATGTTCACTGCGGTCCATTGCGGTCCACTGCGGCCCATTGCGGTCCATTGCGGCCCATTGCGGACCGGCCATGCGCGGTTGAGATTCTCACCTTGTGCATCGCCACGGAGGGCGGAATGTAATGTTTCACGATCTGAAACTTCCAGATATCCAGCATCGCTCCCGCGACCGCCGCAGAGACGTTTTGCCCGACTGCGCACTGCTCTCCTGACGCGCCCCCTTCGTACATGCACGCGAGCGCGTCTGCGATTGCCCGGTCGAACTTGCGCGTGGCGTTATCGTGCCTGGGGTAAGAAACAGACGCGGCATATAGAGCGTCTAGCTGTGGGAGGAGTATTGTCATGTTGCTGATGTCTTTGGTCCCGTCCAGCGCGAAGAGATGCCTTACGAGAGAGAAGTGGATGTCATATGGCTTTGAGGGCGATTCTAAATCGGTCACGGGAATTGCGCGGGTGGTCGTGGGTAGCTGTGCGAGCGACGCGGCCACGAGCAGCAGTGCCACGCCTGTGGCGCCGAAAAGCTGCTTCCTAAATGAGCGGCTGGCCATTGCGTATGTCTACGAGAATCAGCGCGTGCGCGAAATCCCTTGTTACGCACCAGAATTCTTAGTAGTAAAAAAAATGTGGATCGAGTTTCTAGCAAAGAAGCCGTGAGAGAGAGCGAGGTGTCCATCGCTGGAACTCTAAGTTGGAACTTAGGCGGGAAATGATTTTGACAAGGGCGGTGAGGTGATCAATACGCCCTACTCCGAGTAAGCCCACCCAGAATGGGCATGCACGGTCGCACCGACATGCACCGTGGTGGTGGGTAGGAGGGGTTGGGGGGGTTTCCCTTCCCATCCCAACTCCCCCAGTAGATTCTTGCAGGCCGCTGCTCACTGGCCACTCCCTATTGGCGAACCGCAACAATGATCGCAACATATTTTTGTCAGAGATCCTCTATGACAGGCCCGCCTCGGATTTCTTCGTGTAACTTCGACGGCCTGTTACGTGAAGGATCTTCATCAGTTGGTTACAAGGAACACTTTTTTTTTGGAAATATGAGCACGTGACTATGCGGTGGAAATATATATTGTGTCTCCTTCCAACGCTGGCATTTTATCCTCGGCTCCTTGAGTTTTGTTCAAAGCCTCCCGCAAATTCCAAGATCTACTTACTCCACGGCCGTTGAATTATAAGCTATATTCTCAGCAGCAGGAAACCACAGCGGTTGGCAGAAGCTGCCTAGTGTTTTTGCCTCTTTTGAGACATTTGAACTCATGTTGAAAATTATAAGATGTTTGACAGAACACTAATCTTTTACAGGTTGCAGTAAAAACAGCAGGTGTGGTTACAGCACCAGGGGTTGAGGTTACAGCACCAGGGGTGAGGTTTCAGGAGCAGGGCTGAGGTTAGATCAGGGGTGTGGTTACAGGAGCAGGAGTGAGGTTACAGCAGCATGCGACGAGCATGCACACGCGTGAGCGCGCGCCTACCCATGTGTGTCTGCGTGGATGCATGCATGTTCGTACCCGCATACGCGCCAAGAGCATCCATTTTATGAGGGATAAGAACAGCATCGCTTCTATACACCACCACCCCGCCGCTGTGACTATCAAACAGCACGTCTCCACTCTCCACCAACGCTGCTGCGTACGGGGTTCCATCATCTATCACGTGGCCGTAGCGATTGACGATCTTGCTTCTTGGAAACAGCGAGCTGGCCTGCTGGTGAGGAGACATGCCCGAGATGTTCCACGTGCCGCCATACATCGGACTGTATGACATCCAGAGTGGTTGTTCATGCATTGTTGGAAGCTCCCAATGCCCATCTATAGATGAGTACTGCCAAGGAATAATGAGTATCACATGGGGACGGATCAAAGGCGGTTGCATAATGAATAGTCTTAGAAAGAACGGCGTGACCCGCGAATTCCATTGGGTGGAATATAGTGATTTAAAAGCTGCGGTAGAATGCACAGCATTGCGATGCCCTTCTTACGTTTTCTCAAACTCTCAAATATCATGCGGAGGTATGCGTAAAGATCCACAGCACTTGATTCAACCTGATCAAATGGCCATAGTACAATCCTCAAGTTTACCAAGATATTTTTTTTTTTCTGAGAAGGCTTGACTCGGCGATGGTGAAAGACTCGCCTTTGATCAAGGCGGAATTACTGCTCTCACCCTCTGAAACTTCCAGAAGTGGACATGTTCACTGCGGTTCAGTGTGGTCCACTGCATTTCATTACGGTCCATTGCGGTCCAGGCATGATGTAATTCGGTTCAAAATCTCACCTTCTGCATCGCGACGGAGGGCGGAATGTACTCTTTCACAATTTGAAACTTCCATATTTCCAGCATCGCTCCCGCAACCGCCGCAGAGACGTTTTGCCCGACTACGCACTGCTCTCCCGCCACGCCGCCTTCGTACATGCACGCGAGCGCGTCCGCGATTGCCGGGTCGAATTTCCGCGTGGCGTTATCGTGCATAGGGTAGGAAGCAGACGCGGCGTATAGGGCGTCTAGCTGTGGGAGGAGTATTGTTACGTTGGTGATGTCTTTGGTCCCGTCCAACGCGAATAGATGCTGTATGAGAGAGAAATGAATGTCGTATGGTTTCGACGGAGATTCTAAATCGGCCACGGGAATTGCGCGGGCGGTCGTGGCTAGATGTGCGAGCGACGTGGCCACGACCAGCAGTGCGAAGCCCGTGGAGCGAAGGCCGAAATTCTGTCCCGAAAATGAACGGCTGGCCATCGCGGATGTCTTAGAGAAGTAGCGCGTGCGTGCAATTGCACACCAGAATCTTTAGCAGTAAGAAAATGGGGATCGATTTTCTGGCAAAGAAGCTATATGGAGGAAGGTGGCGACTGGTGGAAGGTAGGAATTTGGTTGGGAATTTGGAAATGACTTGACAAGAAAATGAAGGGATGACGCGACAGTTTATTCTCGGCCCTGGCCACTCCGAGTCGCAGGAGGGCGGAGCATTCGCGATCAACAAAGGGATTCACGACGATGGGCGAAGCGTTTGCGACGAATTCCCACCCACGAATTGCAGGCCGTCAATCAATAAAGAAAGTGGTTGATTTTTTGTCGCAGCTCGTAACTACGTACCAGCCTCGCTCGCTCGAGTGGGCGATCGTTGACTCTAACAGAACGGGCGAGCGCAACTGGTTCGTGATGAGCTGGACATCCACATAGCAGCACATAATTGGGTAACCGCATTCCTTGTTGGCCACGCGCTATCCCGCTGGCGTGCACTTGACTTGACAGCCTGGACAAACAAGGAATCAGAATCCTTACGAAGCGTCCCGGCATTACTTGTCTACACATGAGAAAAGCTTGAACAAAGACAACACTAAAAATTTGAGCATTACAAGCAGCAACCTCTAGCACCGTCTGTTGCTGTAAGTCGTGACCAGCCTCAAAAGAACCCATACAGCTAGTTGCCACACAAGCAAAGGCTCTACGCGTTCTGCTTTGCAGCACAGCACATACAGAGAGGAAACGCTGTGAGTAGCAAATCCGATTCGCCTTCAGAAAAAGAATCCATAGAGCTCGATGCCACACAAACATAGATTCCATGCGTTCTGCTTTGCACTTGTGGGGCCCACGAGGCGAATGCGGAAGAATCTCGCCGGGCCAATCATATCACACAGTTCGGCAGGCGATGCACTGGCGTCAGCTTTCCAAGAAGCATGCTGCCCTGAGCAAATCGCATCGCACGAGCTATCTGACTGTTTATTAGATGGTTTGATGGGAGTGAATGCACTGCAGGTGTCAACTGGCCAGGAGGCATACTGCCCCGGGCGGCAGAGGGAGGTGTCTTCTGAGTGGCGCCGAAGGCTCGTCCAATCAGATCCATTGTTGGACGCCTGGGGTAGGGCGTGAGTGGGAAGGAAAAAACAAGGAGACGGGCAAGGAAAGGGAAAAAGGGAAGGTGAAAGAACGGTCAAGGTGCTTCTCTTGTCCCCTCTCTTGTCTGGACGCAAGGAGAGTTCCCCCGAGCGGTGTAGGAGCACTCTCGTACACCCTCAAATGCGTCAGTCAAGGTGACTTTGAGTCGACCCAAAAGTCATATCCTCACATGCGTCATCCCCTCTCTTCAACCACATAGTCTAAAACATACACCTCTGTTGGAGTTGCTTTGGCGAAGTCTCAAAAGCAACTCCAACATAGCTGGCACCATGAGGGCATGTCGTTGGGATTGCCCTGCCCGCCTGTAGTTGGTGCTTTTAAAAAGATTTCATGCCATCTTACATCACATCGCCTAGTGTCACATCGCCTTGTGTCACATCGCCTAGTGTCACACCGTGTTTGGCCAAAACACCCACCTCGAGGCACCACGAGCGCATGTAATTGGGGCTGCCGTCCTGCTGAGCACACACAGCACAACATCACATACCTCTCAACCCCTCTCAACCGCAGCACCCACCTCGAGGCACCACGAGCGCATGTAGTTGGGGCTGCCATCCTGCCTGACTGTGTAGAAGTTGCACAGAAGCTTCCGCAGGGGAAGAGGTGGAAGCAGGGGAAGAGGGGAGAGAGGGGAAAGAGGGGGAAGGGGAGAGGGGGAGTGCGAGATACGGGAGCGAATGAGGCAAGGAGACAAATGCAGTTGTGTATAGCTTTGAGAAGAGTACAAATTGCAGTTCTGCAAATGCTTAGTAAAAGGGGAAAATTTGCAGTCACTAGAAACATGCATTGTGCTTCTTCCCCCAGGTCTGACTAAAACAACTCACCCTGTGCTTCTCCCCCAGGTCGACCCGCCACCAGGCAGTCACGCAGCCCTCCTCCACACAAGGCCCAGCGAAGGACGAGCTCTGAAGGAGTGGAGATGGGTGCAGAAAGGTTGTGGGGGGTGGGGATGGATAGAGTAAGAAACGGGCAGCCCTCTTCCATACAAGGACCAGCAAAGGACAAGCTTTGAAGGAGTGGTGATTGGGCATATAAGAAGCTGTTTTAAAGCTCAAAGCCCAAATTGCAGAGCGCCCGAGGCAAGATTACTAAAGTTGATGAGAGTTGTGCTTTGAGTCATGTTTGGTTGCGAATTGTGGTTAAGAAAGGTGCGATGAAATTTGATTGGCCAACAGTTTTTGGTCCAATAGGAGAGAAGGAAACACCAAGAATATTGTGAGTGCAATTCGGGACTCGAGAACCAAACTGAGTTGCTCCCTGGGGTTTGCTGAGTCAGTGAAAACCCTGGGGGTGTAGCGCGAAGCTGGGCGAAACTGAACAGCCCAACTTAAAAAAAAGTCAACCTTCCTCTCCCACCACCCAAAGGGCAACCTTAGTAAGGTTGAACAATTTGGGCCTTGAGCTTTAAGCCGGGTTGGGCAGCTAAGCAGGGTTGGGCAGCTAAGCAGGGTTGGGCAGCTAAGCAGGGTTGGGCAGCTAAGCAGGGTTGGGCAGCTAAGCAGGGTTGGGCAGCTAAGCAGGGTTGGGCAGCTAAGCAGGGTTGGGCAGCTAAGCAGGGTTGGGCAGCTAAGCAGGGTTGGGCAGCTAAGCAGGGTTGGGCAGCTAAGCAGGGTTGGGCAGCTAAGCAGGGTTGGGCAGCTAAGCAGGGTTGGGCAGCTAAGCAGGGTTGGGCAGCTAAGCAGGGTTGGGCAGCTAAGCAGGGTTGGGTAGCTAAGCAGGGTTGGGCAGCTAAGCAGGGTTGGGCAGCTAAGCAGGGTTGGGCAGCTAAGCAGGGTTGGGCAGCTCAGCAGCAAGCAAGGCATAAACGATGAGTGGTAGGCAGCGGCAAAGATACGATCACGGATAGATCCAGGCAATCACCACCTAATCTCCGGAGACTATGACCTTGCCATCGGTGTAGCGCGAGGGAGGGCTGCTGGCTGCTGCTGAGACGGGCGAGAGAACGAATGCTAGGCAGTGAGAATCACCATGCTGAATCATAGCACACCGCACTCAACCGCACACACACACACACATACACTCACCACATAATCTCCGGAGACTATGACCTTGCCATCGGTGTAGCGCGAGGGCGGGCTGCTGGCTGCTACAGAGAGGGCAAGAGATAATGGATGCTAGGCACCATCACCGCACAGCACCGCACTAAACCGCATTCAAGCGCACTCTACCATACACACTCACCACGTAGTCCCCTGAGACTATGACCTTGCCATCGGTGTAGCGCGAGGGCGGGCTGCTGGCTGCTACTGAGAGGGTCTGGAGGAGGAGGGGGGGTAATGGGTGCGAGGTTAATGGGGGGAAGGTTTATGAGAATGGTGCACATGCAAGGTCATGGGGGGAAGGTTTATGAGAATGGAACACATGCAAGGTTAGGGGGGGAAGGTTTATGAGAAGAATAGAAGGGGAGGAGGGGGAGGGGGGGGGATCTGGGAGAGAGGAAAGGGGCGGGTTGGGGTAGAGGCACTCCCCGTTCCTATCCCTGTCGTGCATGCATGGAATAAGCGAGTGATTTTTGAGAATTCTCAAAAATCCCTGTCGTGCATGCATGGAATAATAAAGACTACTTATTTGCAACAAATGACTCACCCCCGGGGCCCAGCACCACTGGGTTCATCCATCCACGGATGCTGCCTATATCAAGTCCCCGCGTGGAAACACACGCCGTTCCTATCCCCATCGTGCATGTGTGTACTAAAGCACACGAGGAGGGATCAAGACACCTGAGAGCACGTACATGCCGTAACGGCTTACTCACCCCTAGAAGCACAGGATTCATCCAGGGATGGCGCCCGTACGACGTGCCCGCATGGAAGCATACACCGTTCTTATCCCCATCGTGCATGTACTGAAGCACACGAGGAGCGCTCGAAAAACCTCGTGATTTCTGCAGCAGCAGCTTCTCAGCTGTCTCCTGCAGCAGCATCTGCTGCCGCCATTGTGGCTTCCCTGACCGTTTTGAGTCAGCTTGATGGTTGGATCCCCACCCCTCTGTATTGTCACTGCCCGGCCTGCATGCTGCTCTCCCCTCCCGTGCTTTCTCCCCATCCCTTAGCTCCACACCCTCCCTCCCGTTACTGTCACAAATTACTCCTTCCACTGCACTGGAGCAAGGCAACTCTCCCTTTTCCTGCTCATTATAGTCACACCTCACCCCCTTCTTCTCCAAGCTCACCAAGTCTGCTACCCCCACTATTATCCCACCCGCCCCCATCCTGCCACTACCATCCAAAGAAACCCGACCGGGCGGCGCTGATTTGTCCTGACATCTCAACCTGTTCCCTGTCAACCTTTGCTCGTAACTTGCCTTCTTTTCCACACCATTCTCGTTCCCCCTTCTCTTCAACCCTCGCTCCTTCCCATCCTCCCCATCCTGACTTACCCATGCCCCCACATTTCGCCCCCCTTCTCCCCCCTCTCCCCCTTCACAGCCTCTCCTTTTTTCCAAGTTCTGATGCGTCTCAAGACTCTCCCCTGCTCTCCTTTTTTCCAAGTTCTGATGCGTCTCAAGACTCTCCCCTGCTCTCCTTCCCCACCCAGCCTCCCCATCTTGCCTTTCCCACGTTCCCACACTTCGTCCCTCTCCCCCTCCTCCCCCCTCTCCCCCATTAGTGTCACTCCCCTCCCCCGAGTTTTCAGCCGTCTCGAAACTCTTTCCTGCTCTCCGTCCCCTCCAATCCTCTCCTTCCATCCCGCTCCACCGCTCTCCATCCCCCTCTGCCCCTCCCTCTCCTTCTCGCTCCCTATCTCCCCGATTTAAACCCACACACATACCGCTATGTTTCTGGAAATATGCAACCCCTCTCTCCTGCAACTCACTCCCTTCCCTTGCTGCTACACCTGCCCCATGCGTGCGTGCCTGAGCACCCCTCTTTCTTGCCACGCACCCCTCTCCACCGCTTTCAAGAGACCATGATCGTGGCACGGCCACACCCGAGCCTGACGGCCAGGCTCGGGACGGGAGGTCCGGGGACGCGAAGCGGACGATCCGACGGCCGAGATCCACCTGGATATCATCCGACTGAGACGAATCTAACCGGACAGAATTGGACTGTGGATGGTGGCGCAAGAGGGATAAACTTGAGGGATGCCCATGATAATCTGGGGGAGAGAAACTATGAGAGAGACTGCCAGAGAGACTGTGCGAGAATGTTTGGGGAAGGCTGCATGAATGGCGATCACCTGTTTGTGATTCAGATGCTTCAGAAATTGAGAGGTGGAGGGTGGTAAAGGAGGAGGAGGGGGAAGAGGGGGGATGGCTTTGCAGGGCCCTGGGTGCGTTGGCGTGTGGGTCGCGACGAGCGATTTCCCTCACAGCCTGAAGGGGAGACAGAAGGGGAGTAAGGCAGAGAGAAGGGGGGAGAAAGTGAGAGGAACAAGTAGGAGGAGAGACAAAAAAAAAAAGGGCGTAAGGGAGAGAAGATGATGGAAGGGCAAAAGGGCGTTGAGGGAGGGTCCACGAGGCGAGGACACTGAGGGGGAAAAAAATGTGTTTTGAGTCGACTCAAAACACATAAGAAGATGTTGGAAGGGCAAAAGGGCGTTGAGGGAGGGTCCACGAGGACACTGAGGGAGCTGAGGGAGGACACTGAGGGGGAAAAAATGTGCCAGCAATTCGGCACTGAGGGGGATTGAAAAGGGAGCTGATTCGGCAAGCATTTGAGTCGACTCAGGTTTCGGCACCGGAGCGAAAAGAGGTGATGCCACGTGGCAAAAAGGAAACTTACGGATCGGCGAATGGTGGGGAGCCACGTGGCGAGCAGGCTGTCTCTGAGCCTGACGAGCAGCGAATCAGGTAGCAACATGAACTGCACGTGCTGCAGCAACCCAGAAACTTCGTCCCTCCTCCTCCTCCTCCTCCTCCTCTTCTTCATCCTCATCACCCTCCTCCCATTCTATCCCTTCATTCTCCTCCCACTTCCTCCTGCCTCCTTGTAGCATCGGCTCAGCTCCTTCCAGCTGTAGCCGACCCAAAAGATCGGCTTGAATAAGATCGTCAATGTAAGGAGCCCCTGCTACAATCGAATCCTCCTCCTCCTCCTTCCACTCCCCCTCCTCCCCCTCCTTCTCCTCCTCCCCCTCCCCCTCCTCCCCTTCCTCCCCCTCCTCCCCCTCCCTCATCATCATCTCCCTCACTGCTCGCTCCGCTTCCTCCCAGCTGCTGACGTCAGCACGCTGCATCGCCCACGTCAGCACGGTATCCAGAACCCTCTCCTCATTGGCCGCCCAAAAGAAGGGGCTCTGGTGCTCAAACACGTGGCAACGAAACGGGTGGTAACCACAAGAGTAGCCATATGGGAATCAGGGAAACAATCAGGGAAGGGAGGAAAAGCACAGGTTGAAGCCTTGAATAGATGCCATAGAACAGAAATATACATAAGAAAAGACGGTGCTATAAGAGCAAAAAAAAAAAAACAAAAACAAAAACAAAAACAAAAAAAAGGTAAATATTGTATCTTGTGCAGCACAGCAGTGAGCGCAGCAGCAAGCAGCCCTCTCAGCCCGTCCCCGTCAGCATCGGCCCACCAAAACACCCACTGACTCATAACCGGTGAGTGCATTCACACATGCTCCAGCACACCTGCAGCACAGCGGTGAGCGCAGCAGCAGGCAACCCTCTCAGCCCATCCCTGCGAGCATCGGCCCACCAAAACACCCACTGACTCATAACCGGTGAGTGCATTCACACATGCTCCAGCACACCTGCAGCACAGCGGTGAGCGCAGCAGCAGGCAACCCTCTCAGCCCATCCCCGCGAGCATCGGCCCACCAAAACACCCACTGACTCATAACCGGTGAGTGCATTCACACATGCTCCAGCACACCTGCAGCACAGCGGTGAGCGCAGCAGCAGGCAACCCTCTCAGCCCATCCCCGCGAGCATCGGCCCACCAAAACACCCACTGACTCATAACCGGTGAGTGCATTCACACATGCTCCAGCACACCTGCAGCACAGCGGTGAGCGCAGCAGCAGGCAACCCTCTCAGCCCATCCCCGCCAGCATCGGCCCACCAAAACACCCACTGACTCATAACCGGTGAGTGCATTCACACATGCTCCAGCACACCTGCAGCACAGCGGTGAGCGCAGCAGCAGGCAACCCTCTCAGCCCATCCCCGCCAGCATCGGCCCACCAAAACACCCACTGACTCATAACCGGTGAGTGCATTCACACATGCTCCAGCACACCTGCAGCACAGCGGTGAGCGCAGCAGCAGGCAACCCTCTCAGCCCATCCCCGCCAGCATCGGCCCACCAAAACACCCACTGACTCATAACCGGTGAGTGCATTCACACATGCTCCAGCACACCTGCAGCACAGCGGTGAGCGCAGCAGCAGGCAACCCTCTCAGCCCATCCCCGCCAGCATCGGCCCACCAAAACACCCACTGACTCGTAACCGGTGAGTGCATTCACACATGCTCCAGCACACCTGCAGCACAGCGGTGAGCGCAGCAGCAGGCAACCCTCTCAGCCCATCCCCGCCAGCATCGGCCCACCAAAACACCCACTGACTCATAACCGATGAGTGCATTCACACATGCTCCAGCACACCTGCAGCACAGCGGTGAGCGCAGCAGCAGGCAGCCCTCTCAGCCCGTCCCCGTCAGCATCGACGCATCGTTCGAACCGCGCTGCGGCCAATGACGCGGCGACAGCTGTCAGGTGCGAGCAGGCTTCTCCTGGGATTGACAAGGCGACTCGCAGCGTGGTGAATGCTGATGACTGGAGGGGCAGTCAGAGAGAGAGGAAAGGGAGGTTAGCTGTAAAGGAAGATGAGGGAAAGGAGCAGCGGGAGCTGTCAGGTGCGAGCAGGCCACACACGCGAGATAGAGGTCGTTTTTGAGGCGCCTCAAGGTCGTTTTTGAGGCGCCTCAAGGTCGTTTTTGAGGCGCCTCAAGGTCGTTTTTGAGGCGCCTCAAGGTCGTTTTTGAGGCGCCTCAAAAACGACCTCAATGTCAGGTGCGAGCAGGCCACACACGCGAGATACAGATTCACTCACCTCATCAACACACGCCAACAGTCGCTCGTTCGCAGCATGGTGGAGAGCCGGGATGCAGAAGCGGTCAGCCAGGCACAGCAGCGAGGGGAAAGACACGTCTTACCAATTTGGGATATTCCCCCTCACCTCGTCAACGCACTCTAACAGTCGCTCATTCGCAGCATGGTGGAGAGCCGGGATGCAGAAGCGGTCAGCCAGGCACAGCAGCGAGGGGAAAGACACGTCGTACCAATTTGGGATATTCCCCCTCACCTCGTCAACGCACTCTAACAGTCGCTCGTTCGCAGCATGGTGGAGAGCCGGGATGCAGAAGCGGTCAGCCAGGCACAGCAGCGAGGGGAAAGACACGTCGTACCAATTTGGGATATTCCCCCTCACCTCGTCAACGCACTCTAACAGTCGCTCGTTCGCAGCATGGTGGAGAGCCGGGATGCAGAAGCGGTCAGCCAGGCACAGCAGCGAGAGCAGCACGGCCTGTATGCTTTCAGGCGAGGATTGTGCTTGAAACGAGGGTGACTGTGACGAGGACGACTGTAGCGAGGAGTGTGACTGTATGGGGTGTGAGCGTAAGGGGTGTGACTGCAAGTGTTGTGACCGCTTCTGTTGTGAATGTGCCGAGGGCGTCGGGGGCAGCTGTCCGGTATAGAAGAAGTGCAGGAGAGCGGAAACGGCTTCATTAGAAGCACCTCCGATCACAATCTCGCGCGAAGTGGCTTCCCGCATGCCACTTGTCAGCATCTGATTGGATAAGAGGGAACAGGGGTGGAAGGAGATTACACGCAGCACTCCAGGCACACAGCACCATGCGGTGCGAACAAAACAGAGTGAGGCGAGAGGAGAGGTAATGGCAGAGAGAGAGTGAGAGAGCACAGAGGTGAAAAGAAGCAGTCAAGGCACTTGAGTGTAAAGAAAGACCTGCCTTGTGGAAAGGCCTAGAAAGACCTGCCTTGTGAAAGGCAGCACTCCAGGCGCAGAGCACCACCCTGTGCGCTCGAAACACAGTGAGGAGAGGGGCGAAGGCAGAGAGACAGGGCAGGCAGCAGCAGCAGGGAGCAATAACTTATGACTTGGTTGGAAAGAGGAAGCGTACCTTGTGGAAGGCGGCACTCCAGGCGCAGAGCACCACCCTGTGCGCTCCAAACACTGTGCTGCCGGGCTGCGCCGCCCGCACGCTCACGTCACTGTAGCTGCTGCAATAATGACTATGAGTGTGCGTGTGTCCAGCACTACTGGTGGCAGGTGGACGCATAAGACTCGCCTCTCTCCCCTTGCTCGCCTCTCTCCCCTTGCTCGCCTCTGTTGACTCTATTGACTTTACTGACTCAGAAGAGATGCTGATGCCACCGCTGCCGCAGCAGCCGCACCACAGGTATCGGAACAGACGGCACGGTGTATTGGACGACAGGAGATGGAGCGGAACACCCGCTGCTTCCATGGGTGAACCTGATCCTGCACTTGAACTAGAACCTGAACAAGCACCTGAGCTTGCACCTGAATGGGCACCTGAGCTTACACCATCTCCTCTCCTCAACCCCCTGCTCCCCTGCTCAGAAACACACGGCCCTTGCGAGCACTGTTCCTGTGAGGCTGATTGATCGTCACTTCTAAAGCCCAACTGTTCCTCCTGCTGTGGGCTCCTGCTGACTGGGTAACACAGCCACACAAGCCCGTTGACTTGTGTTGACCTTAAAACGCGCGTTGACTTGGCTGACTTGGCTGACGTGGCTGCATCCCCCCTCCCCGCAGCTGGAGCATTGGGGCCAGCATTGTCAGCAGAGCCGCCCCTCTCTGCTGCTACAGCCGCAGAAGCGCCCAGTGCTAAAGGCTCGTCTGTAGAAGAGGATCTCCCAGCACTCTGTCCAGATGCAGAGTATCTGGCTGGGATGGATCCAGATACAGATGTACCTGGACGATTTCCAGGCGCTTCATGATCCATGCCATGCTCCAGCAGTGCTGCTTCGCATGCCCGATGCAATTCCTGCGCCCCTAGCTCGTGTGCGAGATAGAGGAGGGGACGGATGAGCGCGAGGGGTACCTGAAACGGGGGAAGAAGGAACGGAGAGGAGAAGATTGTATGAGGAAGAGAACCCGCGGAAGAGCAGGTCTTTTGAGGCGCCTCAAAAGTCGCCTCAAAAGTTTTGAGGCGCCTCAAAGGAACGGAGAGGAGAAGATTGCACGAGGAAGAGAACCCGCGGAAGAGCAGGAGGAGGTTTGAGACGTCTCACGAGCAGAAAGAGGTTGTGGGTCAACGCACGGCAGACACAGCGCACAGCTGACTTCGCTTGAGAGCGGAGGAGAGAGGGGAGACGAGAGATGAGAGGGGAAATGAGAGAGCGAAGAGGAGAGAGGGGAGAGAGAAGAGGCGAGAGGGGAGAAGCATCACCTCAAGTCGTCCCATGTAGTAGAACGTGAGGAGCAGCAGAAAGAGGTCGGGGTCAACATGAGGCAGGGGGACCATGAGCAGCTTCTCTTCAGCCCGCTGCTTCTGTGATGACCCAGCCGGTGGAAGTGAGATGGGTGCTGCTGCTGCTGCCGCTGCTGCTGCTGCTCCTGCTGCTCCTGCTGCTCCTGCTGCTCCTGCTGCTCCTGCTGCTCCTGCTGCTCCTGCTGCTCCTGCTGCTGCTGTTGGCATTCCTCTGTTGCCCCCTCCCATCACGCTATCTCCCGAATTCGCCCCCACAACGGCCGTATTGGCACCATTGTTCCCTGAAACCCCTCCCAACAACAACGCACCACACCCCTCAGAACCGTAGCGTCTGCACAAGGCCTCGAAGCCTGCCCATGCTGCTGCCAGCACCAGTCTGTGAGCGGGAATCAGGCGACAGGAGGAGGAGCGGGAAACAAGGGTGTTCCCTAAATTCTCCGCACCCATTGCAATTCGTGTCCCTCTGACTTTTCCGTCCGCAACACTGGCAGCACCAGTAGCACCCGCAGAACCAGCAGGACCAGCAGCATCGGTTGTACCAGCAGCATCACCAGGAGCACCAGCACCAACACCAACACCACCACCACTAGCCCCAGCGGTGCCACAATCCCCCCCTCCCCCCATGGCAGCAACAGCAACACCGCCACCAGCAGCAGCAGTACCCGCAGCCCCCGCAACACTGCCAACACCCACATCTCCCCCAATGGCAAAAGCAATGTCTGAAAACTCGGGCGAGTTGACCAGAGACGCCCAGAACCCACGTGGCGATGAGCCATTGGTGGTGTCAGACTTGTCTCGACTACAACTAGGGTGACTGAGGCCGATGGTGCCACTTCTGCTGCTATATACACTCTCACTTCTATGATCTAGATTCCTCTTGCTGCTGCTACAGCTGCTGCTGCCAGTTCTACAGCTTGTGCTGCTACTGCTGTTGTTTCTGGTGCTGAAGGTACTGATGGTGCCGGTGGTAATGATGCTGCTGCTGCTGTGAATCAAACAGCCTTCCCTGCCTTTTCCGCCCATAGACTCCCACACAGACTTCGGGATCCTTACATGTGGTAACACGCGGATGTTCCTATATCCAACGTGCTTGTCCCACGTGCTCAGCCCGACGAACATCACGTCCAGGTTAGGGTTGCGGTCCTTGTATAAGAGCACCACCCGCCTGCCAGGCTCGGCACCCAAGCCTACCGCAATCCGCCCATCCACCACGTTTATCCAGAAGGCTCGGAATTCCGACGGGGCGATCGCCATGTGGGGCCCACCGCCGTCTACAGTATCTACACCGCTATAATGATCTACAGGACGATCACTCTTAGAACCTAAAAGCCTTGCAACGGATTGAAGCGGCAAGTGAGCGAAGGTAGTCAAACTACCATGGCTGGCACACGTGAAACACGTGCAATACGAACTGCTCTTGCTGCTGCAGCTGCTGATTTCGCTGCTTCTGCCGCCGCCGCTGCAGCCGCCTCTGCCGCTGCTGCAGCTGTTGGAACCAACTCTGTTCTTCCACGTGGCAGTCCCCCCGCCAATACCAGACTGCAAACACTCGAAATTAGTCGTTTCAGCCACAGCTACCCCATCAACCTCCAGCTTCAGCCGCCTGTTCCTATGGCTGCCGAACACGACCGTGTAATTCCGCCCCGCGTCCGTCCGATAGTGCCGGCTGCCGTCGCGCGTGTCTTTAATCACCACCGTCGCGTCGTTCTCGCCGCGCACCTCCAGGACCACGCACCCGCGGCCCGGCCGGCCGAACTGCAGGCCGGCCCCGTCCAGCCACGCGCACTCGAACGGCGGCACGACGACGACGCTGTTAGGCGCGACGCGGACAGCCGCCGCTGACATGGCGAATATTAGAAGTTTATCTAGAGAATACCGGTTTCCCGAGACGCAGCCAGTACGATGACGATGACGGTTACCAGCAACCGTGTAACCGGTTTCGCGGTGATTCCGTTCTGGAATATTGCGTACCACACTACTTGACTATGTAAAACGCGCGCTCGATCTCAGTACCATCTTAACTATGCGATAAGAGCACACTCGCCATCCTGAGGTCGTGCGTAACGATCACGGTCAATAGGATGTGGAAACTGGGACTAGTACGTTAACGTTATTTTAATCCTTCACAACCGTTGCAGGATCCGTTTAGCCCGTCGTACGCTCGAAGGTACGTCGACCCACGATCGCTTCCTAAAAGCCCGCTCATAACTTCCCTGTCGTCTTTTCCGAACCTGCCTGCTGCGCACATCAGCACCAAAGCTTGCTTTGGTTTTAGGCGGGCTAACTTCGAAGGGAAAAAAGCCTGTCAGTCAGATTCTAGGCCATACCGCCATTTCAAGGTGCCACAATCACTCCTGCAATTACATCCCAAGGTTGGGAGAAGGTGATGAAATCATTCTCGTTTTTGGCTGGTTCGATATGACGAGGTCACGCACTGAACTGATAATATCGTGTTGGTATTGCCATAAGGACGCGGCACCTCTAGGGAGAAAGCCACGATCGATCCTGGGTGGGGATCGATCCTGGCTTGTACAGTAAAATAGCGACTTCGTCAACACGCTGGTATCTGTTTTCGCCCTAACTCGCAAGTGTACAGTAAATTGGTGCCCAAAATGCTGGCACCTCTGGCTCGCACGATCGATGTGCCAGCGCCCACACATCGATCGTGAAATTGTGGAGATCGGGCAATTTTGCCCCAGGTTTCTCGATCCTGTCACCTGTGGCTCGGTGTGTCCAGGAGATTGCAATTTTGCAGTGTGGGCACATCGGTGTGCCGATCGATGTGCCTAAACCGGTGTGAGGCCCCGATCCCCCTCGATCCTGGCAATGTCCTTAGAGGTGCCGCGTCCTAAGTGAGGGTTCCGCCTCTACCGTTGGCGTGATGGGGATCGCACGTGAACCACGGCTGAAGAGCTGGTGGAGGGTGATTGGCACAATGACGTGTCGCACCCATGGTGCCGTCAAACACGACGGTTGGGCGATGGAACACAATGATGTAACATCACGTTTCGCAGCATAATTTCGTCTCTAGGGTTACAGGTTATGAAGTGCACTCCATGTTTCAAACTCTCAAACATGAAACTAGTATATTGCTAGCTATCAAACCCCTGTCGCCGCAGTCCCCGTAACACCTGCGACTCGCCATGGAGCATCAGCAATATCTCCTGAAGCATATCACCTTCGCCAGAAACTCGTTCAAATTCATTTGGCTCCCCTCCCCCCCCGTCTGCCACGCCAGTTCGCAAGGGCCCATCACCTTCTCCTGTTCAGTGCCAGCCAGAGATGAGAGGGAGGAGACCACTGCCAGGAGTTCGTTGGTTCATGTAATCGCAACTTAGACAGGTACTTAATGGTTTGAAACGGTTACGTGAAAGAATCCTCCAAATTCCCCTGCATCGTACTCGACCGTTTTACCAAACATGTATGACATCCTCCCTTCACCACCACTCCCTCCCCTTCCTTCTGCTCCATTCTACAGCCACATACACGTTGCCTGCCCACCTGTCTGAGGTGGGACAAAATCTCCTCGCTTGATTTGTGCATCCTCCTGAACTTGGGGTGGTGTTCAAGTTTCGTTCGAAAGCTTTCCGATAAAGAACAACCTCATCGAAGTTTTGTACCCCTACGCGTAGGAGAGGATCCCCTTCACGATTCCAAAGTAGGTAGTAGCATTTTCGGAGAACCCTTCAACTTGGACTTTGATTACACAAACGACCACAGTAAATAGCACCCGCGTAGGCGAGAGAGTTATTGTATAGCTCGCGCCATGGCCCGAATGGTTCTGCTCTCCGTCCTCGCCCTTCTCGCTCTCTCGTCAATCTTCTCGCTTCCTCCCACCGCGCTAGTCGCCGCTGTCTCAGACAGACGGCAGCTAGTGACATCAGCCGGCGACAGCTTTCAGCTGACCGGCGACTCGGGTCTTCATGACGGTCCTCGAGGATGACGGTTTAGACGACACGGCGCTGCTGAATCTCTCAGAGGCGGAACAGGCAGACTTCCTGCGTCAGTCCGAAGCGGAAGAGTCCGACTTCCTGCAGTACGATTCCGAAAGCGCGCCGATTCAGCCGAACGACGCGCAGCGCGCGGCCCTTCTCTCGCTCAAGTCCGCCTGGGGCTCCGATTTTTTCAAGGCGGAGACATGGACGGATGCGGAAGGGGAACACCAGTGGTGGGGGGTTACTGTAGACTCTGATGGCGACGTCGTGGCCTTGGAGTTGCCGAACGCGAATCTGGAAGGCGAGATTCCCGAGGTGTTGACGAAGTTCTCTGATCTCGCGACGCTCGATTTGCGCGGGAACAGGCTTACTGGACGCATCCCTACGGGAATATTTTCAAGCTTGCCGTCGCTGCAGGAGATTTACTTGAGCGATAATCTGTTAGAAGGCAAAGTTCCCTGGATCGAGTTTTTCTACTCCAATGACTCCAAGGTGACAACTCTCCGGCTAGATGGGAATAGGTTTTCGGGCAAGATTCGTCCCAAGGCTTTCGATAACGCGACGTCGCTGCAGGCTATCTTCTTGGGCAACAACAAGTTTTACGGGAAGATCCCGAGGAGTCTCGTCAGCTGCAAAGAAATTTCCGTCATTGATTTGAAGAACAACGAGTTTTCGGATCTGATGCCGACGACTATCGCAGGTCTTCCCGCTCTTGAAGTGTTGGACGTTAGCGGGAACAAGCTGAATGGACCAATTCCCAGCTTCCTCGGCCGACTCCCCAGTTTAGTCAACCTCGATTTAAGCAACAACCAATTTTCTGGTCTCGTACCGGATTCATTCCAACTGTTTTCGCACAAAGCGCGCGCGGTGAAAATCGGAGACAACTTCTTGACGGGCCCTTTGCCTCAGTTCCCCCGCTTCTCCAAAGGCTGCGGCGTTAACGGTGTAGGAGGCTTGGACACCACATCGTGCTACATGCTTCGGTCTCTTTTGGATTTCGAGGGCAACTTCTTTTACGGAAATTACTCTCTGGACATTCAGCTGCCCGGCTCGGAAAATCTTCCTGCCATGTCAACAGTGTGTCCGTATGAGTACCCTGAAAGCATCTACGTGAATGATAACTGCCTGAGCTCCACGGATTTGTGCGAAGCGGAGAAGCAGCGGCCACGTAAGGAGTGCGATGAGTTTTGCGGGACGGGTAGTCCCGAGGGGCAGTGCGGGGGCAAGGGGGTGTGTGTGCTGAATCATGTGGAGGGGAGTGACCAGAAGTTCGTTTGTGAGTGTGAACCGGGGTTCCTCCCCATGGGCAACCCTTCCACTTGTGTGAAGGGCTGATGGGGGTGCGGGAAGCAAAGGGTGGTGGGGTGGTGAAAACTGGTTGTCAGTGATAAGGGCGTGGGAAGGGTTGTGTGTGTGGGAGGACTTGGGACTGGTATCACAACATTCATTTTGACGAGAGCAGCACTTCCTGGGCTTATTGGATGTGTGGGACTCCAAAGGGGGAGGGGGAGGTCTGGATGAGTGCAATGGCATCTACAATCCTGCTGCCGGGCATAGAGAGTTTCACAGTATGTTTGTGGATTAATGTCAGGCTTTGAGGTTTCTAGTTTGTTTGTGTTATGAAGAGGGTTGGCTGATATTCGCTGCTTTAAGCTGGTAGATTAGGCAATACAAAACTCCTGTACAAGCATCCATGATTATATTGCATATTAAACCTTATGTTACCAGGAACCTGCATATTCGAGTGTACGCGTGTAAGGTGAGCTAACACCTCTGTCGGAGGAGACAGTACAGTGCGATGCACCAGCCCCTCGAAGTTTGTTCCATGATCTCCCAGTGCTGCTGTTTCATTGGTCCAAATTTGTCTCTCGAGGTTGTTCCATTCCATGTACATTTTATACCCGTTGTGGAGTAACAGAATCCTCCAGGGAATCTTGGCTAAGAGCACGCCATCGCCAAGCAAGCAAGCTTTATAGAACAGCATGGTGAGGCTGTTTTGGCGGGTCCTTCGATCAACTAGTGTCAGAAGTCACGAGGACGCAAGCTCAAGCCTTGTCTGTCGAGGTCGAGTTTCGTGAAAGGTCTACAGCGTAGCACCCTGACTAGGCTATTGTGTTTCTTGTTCCCATTTTCAGAGACCACTGGCGTTCTAGTTTAAAAATCCATTTGTCTTGCCATAGCTAAGATGAGCTGGCATCCTGTTGCTCGATAGGTCACGTCGATCTGTCGCGTCGGTAGAAGCGTGTTATCGGCCTCACCTAAGCTGTCGCGTTGGTAGTAGTTATTCGTTTCCGCACCTGACGCAAGAAATACTCCACACCTTTTGTTGAAGCGCAACGAGCATCGGGAATGGTTAATCAGGCAAAGTTCTCATGTAGTTTAGACCATTTAGAAAGCAGATCCTGATTTAGGAACCGATTGTGTGCAGCGAGACCGAGGCAGGCTAGGGTTTCCTTATAAGAGGTTCCGAAAGGAGGTCACAATGGCCACCAAACCCCTGTCGTTGTATTTGCTCGTTGGTGCAGGTAAGACCTCTGACCTGTGACGACGCAAGGTGTGTCAGACTCGTACCCTACCATGTATCTGCTCCTTCTATAAGCTCCCAGCGTCGAGAAGTTCCGAACTTTGTTTATCTTCGTTTGTGACTTCCTCGATATGGGCCTCCGAGCTGTAGACAAGTCGATACGAGCAACTTGTTTTCCGATCGAATCCCTTTCCTTCGCGTTAGCTCTCGTTACAGCTTATACTCTTTATTCGTCCTTCGTTACGCGCAGGTGTAGCTGGCATGACCGTTCTCGGTCCCGCCGGATTCGCGGATCTCCTACGCGACATTACTCGGGTGCGTTCCCCTCTTCCATCCCCGTACCCGCTATAGTCATCATTTACGCTCTGGAAGGTGGCCTTCATTTTCTGCTTTTCCCTACAGCCTACCCAGCCTCGCACGATCTCTACCTTCCTCTCACAACTTCGCCCTATGGCATTCGATCTTACCCTCCCTCTCTCGGGCTTTCCCTGCATCTTTCAAACCTCGTTAATCCGCTTTATACGAGCCTCTTCCAACCGTACTCTCTGTAACAAACCGTTGGGCCTTTGAGAAATCTCCATAAGGTACATAGCTGACAGCAGCTTCCTCCTTACCCCCGCAACCCCCCCTCCTTTTCCCCACGCCGCCTTCTCCTTTTCGTTCCGGGCAGGTGGTATCGAAGCATCTGAAGACGATAGATGATGGTTCCGACAGCAAGAGAGACCACACAGATGACGTCAACATGGCACTTATCGACCAGGTACGGTGACCGTCTCGTGTTCTGACTGCGACCAGCTACGGCGTCGTCTGCAGCTGATGCTCTGATCGACCGGTTACAAGTAGTGCCCTGCCTCCTCCCATTGCTGCTGCTGCTGCTGCATTGATCGACCATGTACGTCGTTGCTGCTGCTTTGGTGGGCGAGATATGGTGAATCTTGTTCATAATCTCTTCCCCCACTTCCCCCCCCCTTCCCTCCTCACAACTCCCCCCCTCCTCACATCTCCCCCCTCCCCCAGTTTCATGTCTAGCTTAGAATCTGATGCCAGTTGACCTGCATCTGACGTCATCTCATCTCATGTGTACCGTCTGCACCCATTTCATTGTAACCTTCCTCGCAGGTTCATAAGCTGAGTCTGCAGGTGCAGCAGCTCTCTAACAACTCTCGACCAATCACAGTCGTCAATGCGCCACCTGCACAACAACGAGGTAAGGAGCTTCTGTAAAAGGTTGTTGCCTCTTGTTTGTTATCTCTAAGCAGCAGGTTGCATTTGTCAGGTAGGGCATATGCCTTTGATTTGTTCTGTTCCTGAGTTTTTTGATTTGTCGAGCATTTGAGCCAGATGTTTTCTGCTCCGTTTTGTCCGTGTATGTGCATGTGTGCTCCGTCATGTGTGCAGGGAGCATTGTGGGGTATGTGGTGCCGGTGGCAGTCATTGGTGCAGCCGGCTATGGAGTCATGTGGTGGAAGGTACGCGTGTGTGCGTGACAATGATGCTGGCATGGCACGGCATGGCATGGTATGGAGTGCCATGCTGCAGGTTGTGTGACAAGGCTCAGGGACGAAGTAGTGAAGGCACTGGGGAAAAGGTCGAACCTTTCTGCTTCTTCCCTGCTTCTTGGCCCCTTCTTATTTCCCCCCTTCCTGCCCACTTTCCAACCCCCTTCCTCCCTGCTGCTTCCTTCACCTCGTCTGCTGCGCAGGGGTGCCAAGTGAGCGATTTGATGTGCTTGACGAGCAAGGGCGTGCACAGGGCAGTGATGGTCATGGGGAAGAAGATGAGACGGTCCATCCTTCCCCTCTTCCCCCTGCCTCCCTGCCGTCTTCTCTATCTGTCTATCTGTCTGTCTGTCTTCCCTAACTCCCTGTGCAGGGCTGGCGGGTAAGCGACCTGATGTACGTGACGAGGAGGAAAATGGACCAGGCTGTGAAGCTCTTTGGGGAGAAGGTGACGGAGCTGCAAACAGCCCTCGACGTGAGTAGAGCTTTGGGTGGGTGGCTCTAGATGTGCGTGAGTAGGGCGTGCTTTGTGAGAGGCAGCGAAGCTGATGTGAGTGGAGCTATAGGCAGGCGGTTCTAGATGTGAGTGAGTGGCGCGTGTAAGTGGGGTTGTGTGTGAGTGGGGTTTATTTCTGTGGAAAGGCCAATGAAGGATAGAGGAGTAGGTGATGGAGCTGCGAACAGTATTTTGTTTCTTTACTTTACTCCCCCTCCCCCTCTCCCTCCTCCCATTCCATCCCCACCTGCAGACGGCCAAGAAGCAACTGGCGGGGCGGCTGGAGGGAGTGTCCAAGTCGGTGGCCGAGGGGCTCAAGATGCAGGCTGTTATCAAGAAAGATGTGAGTGACTGTACTGAAAGAAGGGAGGCGCTGGCAATGCTTGTCAAGGGTTTTTAGGTGTGACTAAGAGGAAGGGAGTGTCCAAGTCGGTGGCTGAGGGGCTGAAGATGCAGGCCGTTATAAAGAAGGACGTGAGTGACTCACCGAGGATGTGACTGTAAAGAAAGGGAGTGGAGTAGCTGGGTGTGTAATTGTGAGAGGCATTTGGTTCGTCGATCTCTGCGTTTTACTTTTGATGGGCACCTTGAGGTTCGTTCGTGTGTGTTATGTGAAGGTTATCAAGTGGCTTTTGGCCAGTGGTTTGACGTCAGTCAACTCAACAGTCTAGTTTCATTCACTATGAGCCTTGGAATCTGGAACTCTAACGCTTAAAGCCCAGAACCTTCTCCCTTCTCCTTTCCAATTGTCCCTCACAGGTTATCGAGGTGAAGGGGGTGGTTACTTCTGTGAGTCGAGACCTGGACAACATGCACGGGCTGGTGGAAGGCATGGTGAGTGGGAGGGGGGGAGGGAGGGGGGAGGGGTGGGGGAAGGTGCTGAAGAGCACGTGTTGCGTACCAGTGTGAAGGGGGTGGTCACCGGTGTGAGTCGCAACCTGTTTTGAGACGTCTCAAAAGTCAGTGTGAGTCGCGACCTGGACAGCATGCATGGGCTGGTGGACGGCATGGTGAGTGGAATGTGGGGGTTGCAGGGAATGGGGAGAAGGGGGATGGGTTGGAGGTATGAGTTAGCACGTGTAGTATATCCTTGAGTCACGTGTGTGAGTTGATACCTGGGCGGTCATGCGTGGGCTGGTGGTGGGCATGGTGAGTGAAAAAGGGGGAGGAGGAATTCTTTGGGGTGAGACTCGGGCAACATGCATGGTTTGGTGGAGGGTGTGGTGAGGGAAAGAAAAGAGGGGGGGGGGAGAGAGGAGGAGGAGGAGGGGTTGCGGTGGGTGTTTTGTGGGGATCCCAGGCTAGCTCATCTTGAGCAGAAGCAGGACGTCTCCACTCGTGGAGTGCTGTTGTTTCCGTGCTGTGTTTCTCTCTTGCCGTGGCCATTTTGGAGGCGCCTCAAAAATCTCCACTCGTGGAGTGCTGTTGACCCATGTGTTTCTCTCTTCTCTTGCCGTGGCCTTTTTTGCTCCGGCATGTGCAACCCCATGCATGCAGGATACCAAGCCGGCCCCGCTCGAGCAGAAGCAGGACGTTGCCACCCGGGGAGTGCTGCTGCTGCTTCTATCATGTGTCTCTGCCATGTGCCCCCTGTGTCATTTCCCTCATGCCTGCAACCCCATGCGTGCAGGATACCAAGCTGGCCTCGCTCGAGCAGAAGCAGGGCATTGCCAAATCCGGGGAATGCTGCTGTTTTTGCTCTCATAGATCTCTCTCTTGTGCCATTTCCGTACCGTCCAACCCCGTCCGTCCCTCCCTACGTCGCCTGCAGGATACCAAGCTCGCCTCGCTCGAGCAGAAGCAGGACGTTGCCACCCGGGGAGTGCTGCTGCTGCTCCCTTATGTCTCTGTCACGTGCCCTGTGTTCTTTCCCTCCTGCCTACATCCCCCTGCCTGCAGGATACCAAGCTCGCCTCGCTCGAGCAGAAGCAGGACATTGCCACACGCGGGGTGCTGTTGCTCTGCAGCTTCGTGAGCAGAGGGCTGCAGGGCAACCCCGGAAACCAGGAATTGTTGAAGGTGAGTAGTGGTGGGAAGTGACGAGAGGGGTTGAGTTGATGCGGTTCAGTGGGGGGATGATGCGGTCCAGTGAGGTGAACGGTCTATGATTCAGCTTCTGCTTCCTCTTTTTTCTGTGTACTCAAATCTTTGTACCCAGGGTCTGGCCGACATGTCACAAACTCTTCCTCTCTCCCTCTCCTCCCTTTTCTCTCCTCCCCTCAGGGCTTGGCCGACATGTCACGAGGTGACTTTTGAGTCGACTCAAAAGTCATCTTTGTACCCCAGGGTCTGGCCGACATGTCAGGGATGGCCATGCCACAGCTTGCCACGGGCAAGGGCGCTTCAGTCCCACCCTCCTTCCTCCATACCTCAAACTCTTCCTCTCTCCCTCTCCCCCCTTTTCTCTTCTCCCCCAAGGGTTTAGCGGGCATGTCACGGATGGCTGTGCCACAGCTTGCCATGAGCAAGTTCGCAGCATTCTTGCCTTTCCTCTCAGCTCCCTTTCTTCCTCTCCCTTCCTCTCTGCCTTCCTCTCTGCCTTCCTCTCTGCCTTCCTCTCTCCCTTGCTATCTCCCTTGCTCTCTCCCCAGGGCCTGGCGGACATGTCTCAAATGGCCGTGCCACAGCTTGCGGGAGGGAAGGGCGCAGCGGCGGGCGGGGCAGTGGGCCTATCAGGGTTGAAGGAACTCGAGTTCATCTCGTCCGCTTTGGAATCGTCTGTGCACCATGCAGGTGGGGGTGGGGGTGCGGGTGGGGGTGGGGGTGTGCTGCTGGCGATGTTGCTGCTGCTGCTAGTCTGGTGGTGCTGGGGATTGCTGGTGGTGCTGCTTCGGGCAGACAGAGAGCAGGCGGGGCAGTGGGCCTATTAGGGCTGAAACAGCTTGAAGTCATCTCGTCTGCCCTCGAGTCGTCCGTGCACCACTCAGGTGAGGGTGGTGGTGCTGGTGATGTGCCTGGTGTTGCTGCTGGTGGGGATGCCGGTGGTTCCTCTGTGGGCCTATCAGGGTTGAAGGAGCTCGAGTTCATCTCGTCTGCCCTTGAATCGCCCGTTCACCATACAGGTGCGGCTGCGGGTGCGGGTACAGGTGGTTGCTGGTCTGGGAGTGCTGGTAATGCTGTTGCAGGGTAGGGGGACGAAGGGGGAAGAGGTGGGTAGTGGGGCTGTCAGGGCTGAAACAGCTTGAATTCATCTCCTCTGCTTTTGAGTCGTCCGTGCACCAGTCAGGTGGGAGTGAGGGTAGGACTGGTGCTTCTGGTGTGGTTGCTGGAGGTGGGAAGTGGTGGTGCTGCTGCGGTGTTGCTGGTAGTATTACCACCCATATGCCCTCACCTCAGTTGCCAGCATCTCTCCATTCTCCTCTTCTCCACCAACTTCTCCTCCTCTTCCCTCTCCTTGATGTTAGTTTTCACTTTCCGTCTTACCTAACTGATATGTCGCTCCTTCCTGGTCTGTCCCTCCTCCCTCCCTCCCATCCGTGCCACTGTCGCAGGGAACCTGCCCCTTGATCCTGCCTACACCTACCAACCCACTCGCCAAGCCTCCTACCAAGCCTCCTACCAAGCCTCAGCAGCAGGTTTGGAGCAGCAAACCTCTACGCCAGCAGCGGCACCGGCAGCACCAGGAATCGCGTCCAGACACTCGTTCGGAGCAGGTGGGGCGGCGGCAGCAGCAGCAGCTGCTGCAGCGATTGCTACAGTATCAGGGAGATCCCGAGGGGAAAGTGCACCTGGATTAGTGGTAGGGGTAGGAGGAGGATCAGGAGGAGTGCATGGGTTGGGGGCAGAGCGAGGGATGAAAGGAGCAGCAGCAGCAACACGTGGCTTACATACAGCAGCACCTGCAGTGCAGGGGTTGCATACAACAGGAGCAGTGGCAGAAGCAGCTGTGGTTCAGAGTGTGAGAGAGGCTGGGGATGCTGTGTTGAAGCGAGGGGTGGTGATTGAGGAGGTGGGGGATGGAAGGGAGAGGTATGGCCGGCCGCGTTCAGCGGATGAGGTGTCGCCACCTCGTGCTCGTGAAGGAGGACCGGGGGGTTATCCACCAAGGTGCGTCCAAACCTTACTGTTTTCCTATTCGTGTGAAGTTAATCCTTGTGTTGCTGCAAATTATGATGCCAGCTCTTACCAGCACTGGTTTGGTCTAGCCCCGCCTGTGGTTCACTCCAAATTTTACCTGACTGACTTTCCCTGGCATGTACTTCTCTTGTTTCAGGAAGCTGAGGCATGCTCGATTTGGGGACTGAAGAAGACAGTTTATTAGCATACATGGCCACGATTGGCATGAGCAATTCAAACATACCCAGAATCCAGAACAAGACCAGTTTTCATGAGATGCAAGGTGAAATGCTGCACCATAACACGTTCCACAAACTCACTGCTGGTCCTTTCATGCGCTATTCCTGCACCGCAATACTCATGGAAGGGGCATTGTTTATGAGATCCAGCTGAAGTTGCATATTACAAGTATGAGAAGCAAGAAGCAAAGGTGCATCTCTGAGTAGAGGTCCCTGAGTAAGGGACAACCCACTACTACCAGCAGGAGGTGGTCTTATAAGTGCATGCTTCAGGCTAAGGGGAGTATGGCAAAGAGTAGCCTAACCTACGGTTGTCATGACCCATTCACAGTGAGATGCTGGGTGTACACCGCTCGTTGTACTTCTTAGCGGAAAACGGGTCCAGCTGCATCGTGCATTCCACATGCACTATAACGCGCGGCGACGAGATGCCCCAGTATTTCACGCGCGCTGCAGTGCCAACCACCACCCGCATTTCCGCGCGCCCATGCAGCAGCGGCGTCGTCAGCAGGCTCGCGGGACTCAGCGTCGCCAGGGGCGCGTCGACAATATCAAGGGGAACAGTCAACTCCGCGCTCCCACCCTTGCTCATGCCCACAACGCCAGGGAGGGTTACATTCGCAACATGCATGTCGAAGAATTTGACGTCGATGCTGATGTTTTCCGCTTCCACGTCCCAGTTGTTGGGGTTATACACGAGCGCGGTGACGTTTACTAACGCGGATAGGCCCAGGCGGAAGTTTTCGAGGCCCAGGAAGCCGCCGCCCGTTTTGGTGATGCCGACGCGGATGATGTTGATTTGCTCGACCTTCACCTCTGGCTGCTGCTTCGAGACTGTCAGGTATGCGACGAGCCCTGCGACGCCTAGGCCGACGATAACGACGGCGAGGACGATGAGCGACCAGCATGCGACGCGGCAGCAGCAGGTCCGGCGACGACGCCTCTGGCGATCCTTCTCGTCCTTGCGAAGCTTATCTATTTCGTCTGCAGTGCTGGTTACTTCCTTAGGGTTGGCGATGCGCAAATCGGAAGGGTAAACCGCGGTGAACTCTCCCGGGTTTTCCTCATCCGCGCTGCCACTTGCGGAAACTGCGTTCCTCGTAAGCGGAGGCGCGCAGCAAAATAGCGGAAGCGACTTTTGGGGAGACGACGAGGTAACGGGAAGAGAGGCGTCTGGAGCTGAGAAAGCGGAGTTTCCTGATTCAATGTCCCCGTCAGATGCGAGCTGTTGCGTGGCCTTCAAAATCCGTGAATCGTTGACGAGAGCCATTGATTGAAGTCTATGGGGTTGGGGATGGTTGACGTGAGATGGTTGAGTCGGGTTGGGTGTCCGAGTTGGCAAATGGAGTTGCTTCGAATCGGTTTGTTTGCAATGCCCTTGCTCTCGCGTATTTATCGTGCGATTTGGGGCAAGAAATGTCGAAGTTCCGTGCCACCCCACCCACCCTCCCCATTCAGACCACTCAGGGTAATCCAGGGTAACCGAGTCGCGCCCAGGGTAATAGCGGTCCGATGTGCGCGGTTAGGCGAAGGAAATGGCGGAACCGAAGCTTCTTCCCCGCTTTGTTATTGGGCATGCGGACAAACGAACCAGACGAACCAGCCAATGCGTCTCGGTGAGCCTTTCCCCAGTAACCCCACATTTCCAGCCTGCCTAGCCTACGTGTTCAGTTTGCTGGTACGTCTTGTTAGACTCATTACACATCAGACCGTTACTAGTCAAGGTGTGCTGGCTTGTTGACAAACATTAAACAAGCTTACTTCTTATATCAGTGCGTGAATTTCCGAGGTTGGCTATCAATGCTCCATGCCCCCAACTACAACTGGCCCGGGGTATGACGAAAAATGATCAAATAGGTCATGGTCCGAGCGTTTTGGATTTAGCGGTAACACAATTCTACGTAGCTTATGAATTCAGATACAGGTTAGCTAAGCCTCGCTACGCTAACACATTGCCAACACACAGCTACTTTGCTTCCCCAGGCCACCACCAGTTTTATTAAGGGGCCAAGTGACCCTTCGTCCAGCAGAAGAACCTTACAGGAGGCAAGCCCTGCCACTCAGTGTGGCTCTCGCCTCGCGACGCCAGTTCAGGCACTGCTGGGCCTTGCCACCATACACTAAACCACTGACCCATGACAGTGGTTAAGAACACACGTGTGAAACTACCCTGTACCTCCCCCACCCGCATCTCATCCCCCCCCAGAGCTAATATCTATCCCGCGACGAAGGGATGTCACGTAGCAACGAAATTGGCAGCTTGGAAAACGCGCCCCCGCCGCCGCCCCTTTCAGTGTCGCTTTCACCTCTGGACGCCGGCTCAGGCACCGCCCTGCCGCCGCTGCTGCTGCGCCGGCTACCTGAGGAGGACCGCTCGCGCTCGCCCCCACCGCTGCTGCTGCGACCAAACGCACTGCTGAAGCCACGCGTGAGCGGCGAGGTGCTTCTGGGGGACCTCTGACCGGCTGGTGAGGGGTCGACAGGAGGGGAGGGGAAAGAAAAAGATTTCAAGTTAGGGTCACAAGACAAACGCTCTGCTGAAGTCCCGAGTGAGGGGGGAGGTGCTCCTGAGGGATTTCTGACTGGTTGGCGGGGGGGTGACGGGGAGGGTGAGGGGGAGAAGAGGAGAGATAATGAAAGAGGCTCACAAGCCAGACGTACTGCTGAAGCCACGGTTGAGGGGGGATGTGCTCTGGACCGGCTGGTGGGAGTGGACGGGAGTTGAGGGTTCAAACGTTAGCTCTATGGCATACAGAGATATCACAAAAGAGCCCATGAAAATTGTGGGATATGGGGGAGATGTGGGACACGTGGTAAGTGCCACGAGAGTGCAGGCCACCCCACCATGATTTAGCATGCATGGTGTATTGTGATAAGCCATGCATGCCACAGGGCATGTGGGCGTGGAGCATGTGGGGCATGCAAATCATGTTTGGGGCATGTGGGGCACGTGGGGCATGTTTGGGGCACGTGGGGCACGTGGGAAGCACCTGAGGGGCTAGAGCTACGAGCAGTGGCACGAGAGAGCAGCCCGCCTCCAGATGACGATGTGCCTGTGGCGCCTGACTTGACTTGTGCCTGAGGGGTGGACACACAGACATAACGATACACACAGACGCGCACACACAGACATCATGCTCATACATACATGCCCGCACACCCACAGAGGCATCATGCACGCGCAGAGGTGACATTTCAGCTGACTCAAAAATTGCCCTCCTGATGATGTTGATGTGCCTGTGGCGCCTGACTTGACCAGCGCCTGATGGGTGCAAGACACCTGTAGAAAGACGCTCACACAGACATCACACACGCTCATTGTCAGTGAATGACAATCTTTCCGCACGCTCGAGCTTTTCTAGACCTACTTTTGTTCAGACGAGCCTTGGGCTCCACACTAGAACGGACCCCGTACAATAATGGGCCGTGGAGACAATCATGAGCCGTGTGCACAGCCTGGCAACCATGAGAGCCTGGGGAGAACAGGACTCGTGACAGATAGACCCGGGAAACAAACACTACCAGCTCACTTTGAGAGTGAAGTAGGCGTCGATCAGCGAGAGATTAAGCTTAAGCTGCATGTTAGAATGGTCGCTGGACAAAGTATGGACCGTGGACAGCTAGAGACCTGGACAGCTAGAGACATTGAACAGCTAGAGACCTGGACAGCCATCACATGACACGAGGGCGCACCTTGAGAGTGAAGTAGGCGTCAATCAGCTCGTGCAGCAGCGGCCGCGTGGCACCGCCAGGTGTCATGATGGCATTGGACGACGGCAGGCCGAGCTCGTCCTCTAGCTTTGGTCGGCGCGGGTACACCGGTGGCTGGGGAAACGCAAGGGAGAAAGGAAAAAAGTTTAGTTGAACGAAAGGAACGCCTGAAACCAGACGTCTGCTTTCACCTTGCTCCAAGCCCACACTCACCCCCGGTCGACCCTTCCACGACACCGTTAACGTCTGTACCTACGACCGTCACTTTTGACACGGATCCTGACCATACGGCTAATCACCATTCCTCTTGATCACTATACATGCCATTCCAAGACTACCGCAGTGCATGCCATTGCTGTCCCATTCACGTAACACAGCTATTCGCCGTACACACTCACATCTTAACCTCCTATGCCAAGGCTACCGCAGTGCATGCTCCGTTCCGTTCACTACACGGTTGTTTGTCTACGTGACATTGCGTTAGAGCCGACCCACGGGGTTACACTCCAACAGGTACACTTGGACCGTTACTGGGTTACATCCCGCAAGGTACACTTGAACCGTACGTACCAGGTTACACTCCGAGAGGTACACTTTGAGGGTATGGTCCATCTCCCCCCACTCGAGGTACTCGCACAGCAGCGCCGTGAGCAGATGACCTGCCACGACGTCACCAGTAACCACGTGGGAACAACGTTACAGTGAGGTATATGTTACAATGAAAAAGCGATGTTTTTTCAGAAATCACGGTTGCAAAAGCACGTACTGTTTACGTATGTTACAGTGAATAATGAGCTACGCAAAGAATTATCAGCAGCCGTACAAGCCGCCCCTCACAATCCGAGGCGTCTGAACGCACAAGTGCTTCACATCCCTCCCATCAATTCACCCGACTACCTCCCATCCACTCACGCGACTACCTCTCATCAGCTCACCCGTTTTGGAGTCGTGCAGGTTCTTCGCTTGCTCGCTGCAGCCGCCTCACACAATCTGAGACGTCTAAGAGCACGAGCTCTTCCCATCACTTCCCATCAATTCAACCATCCACTCACGCGACTACCAGCTCACCCGTTTTGGAGTCGTGCAGGTTCTTCGCTTGCTCGCTGCAGCCGCCTCTCACGGCGCGTTGCTCGTCGCCGCTCGCCGTCTTGTCCTTGTCGTCGATTACCTCGAATATGCTCGCTCGCAGCTCCGCCTGCCAGAAATAGCCACGACCCACGAAATTCCAGATTCACGAGACACGACCTACGACCGTCAAGACCACAAGCTTCAGAAAACGGGTACGAATCTCATATTTTTTATCAAAACATGCCTTGAAACAAAAGCACAACCAGAGGCGACACGCCTCGAGCGACGACATTCATGCGTCGGAATCTGTCATTCTCGTTCAAAAGCCATCGTTCCGAATATCACTCTGGCCTTCTCATACCTTGAGTCGAGCCAAAACACCCTTCTTCTCTAAAGCCTTCGTCACGAGCGTTTTCAACTCTCCCATCTCCTTGTTGTACTCGTCTAGCGGAGTCGGGTGATTTTGAAGCGTCGCCATCCCCACGTGTATTCAACCTAGAGTCGGAAGTTGAATGAGCTCGGTCAGGTCTAGCAGGTTACCTAATGAAAGTTAATCCTCCAGAATAGGCGTACTTTGACTGCACTGGGATTGCAACTTCAGAATACGGCAAGTGCGAGTGACGCCAGTGTAGCTTGAAAAACAAATCTAGGATCCAAAGTAGACAATAGACGGGGAATACTACTAGAACAAATAGCAGACTAAGCAACCTCGTTCTCTCGAGACTGCCGAAGGGACAAGGGAATGAAGAAGTAGAGTCGGTGATTGATGGAATGTGGAATGAGAGGTGGAGAGAACAAGGTACCAGATACCTGCTTTTTGTGTGTGTTCTATTTTCAACTCTATCTACCGCGGTTCTGGAGTTTGCGTTACGGTCCAAAATGGTAAACTGTACATACCGCTAAATACCGACCGAAAACTTTGTAAAACCGTACTGAACGATCACCATATTACTGGTCAAGTGCTATTGGCTTCAGCTGACACCCAGCAAGCAGATGTGTGTGTGAGTCGAGGAGGTGAGGTGCTTTGCATTATCCCCGACAGAGACGGAGCGCAACGGTCCAAGGCAGCAGAACTACCGATGAAGCGAAATCAGCGAACTGCAAACCAGGTTGACGAAATGGAATCAGATCGCCAGCCTGGCATGGGTGTCAGACTGTGTTGTCAGTTCACACTTTTCGGGTTTGCCCTCGGTGATCCCGATACAGGGAGGGGGAATGCTTGGAGGGAAAACCGTCTGACAGGCTTGAACTGAAACCCGTCGGTGAAAGTCACAATACTGGATATGGCTACTGACATATAAACTACTCAGGGCAAAATCTTACACAAGCTTGCAATAACCTACATGCTGCACAAAAAGTGATTGCAGCATATTGTTTATCCCAAATACGTCTTCCTACGCCAAGAGATAACATAAACTACCAGCGAAGTGCTAAAACCCTGCGTGAATAGACATGTACATACTATTGGCGTGCGGTTTCATGTCCGCAGGAGGGGAATGATCAGGCGACGGCAAATCCAACGGCGGGGGAATGGACAAAGGAGGCAGTCCCCTCTTACGAGCCCATTGCTCCCGAATCAGCCTTGCAGCCTTACTCACAGGAGCACCAGTCTCCCTCAACTCCCCCAAACCCAGCAGCAAACCCCCCAAACTGCCTTCCGAATCCCCAATACTCACACTCCCTTCATCCCGGCCTCTCTTATTCGACTGCCCTGACATGCTAAATGAAGAATTTGCGGAACGTACGCGTGGCGAGGTGCAAACATTGGCAATACCCTCCGTTCCGAGGCTTGAGATGGCAGCAGCTGCTTCTCTAGCAGCTGCTGAAGCTGGGAAGAGTGGGAGCTCTGTGATGGCTGCAGCGGCATTCAGACAGGCATCCGTATGAACCGGCAGTGGAAAATCTGCTGCGAAATCTGCGGCGCGCTGAGCATCAGCTGGCGAGGAGTCTGGTGCGACCGCAGGCCCGGCAGCCCACGTGTAGTCGCTTGCCGATGCAGCCACCGAGCCTGATGTCGAGCTTGTTCCAGGTCCGCAAAGGGGCGCGGAGGCTGAGAACGAAGCGGAGGCGTGGACAGGGGCGAGGGCGAGGGAGAGGGTGGATGGGGAGCGGGCGAAGTTTGTGGGTTGCGGAGGGTAGGTGGTGACTGGGGAAGGTGATACTGGGGAAGATGCTACTGGAGCAGGCGCAGCTGCTGCCGGGGTTGGAGGAGCGATAGCAATTATACCAGCCGAACCACCCATACCACCTGCACTGTCCACATAAGCCATATCATCCATATCAGCAGTCTCAAACCCATGGCCTGCAGCAGGCATTGCATCAGCAGCGCCAGAGGCAGGGTGTGAGGGTGGATGAGTAGCAGGCGGGGCGGAGTGCGTGGAGGGCGGGTGCAGGTGAAGCGGGGAGGGGAGGGAGGGAGGGGGGAGAGCCGCATAGTCGGATAGAGGAGGAGGTGGTGGGGAAGATGCTATGGGAGAATGGTTGGAAGGTTGCTGCCATTGCTGCTGTTGCTCCTGCTGCCATTGCTGCTGCTGCTCCTGCTGCCATTGCTGCTGCTGCCATTGCTGTTGGTACTGCGGCGGTTCCTGGTATTGTGGCGGTGCCTGGTACTGCAGTTGCTCCTCCAGTGGAAGTGCAGATGCGGGAAGCGTTGATGCTGGCTGTACTGGTGTTTGCTCCCTTGATGCTGGCTCCCCATTGGACGGCTCCCACATGGCACACGCAACAGGATGGTCCAGTGAGAACCCGCCATCTGGCACGTGAACAGTTTCCGGGGCAGCACTCGGTTCTCGAGACTGGGTGGTCGCTGTGAATAAGAAAGGCTGCTGGTAAGGCGGCTGGAAAGGCGGCTGGAAGGCCTGTTGCTGCTCTTCTCCCTCTCGCGCGCTTCCTCCTTCCCCCATGCCCTCCTCTTCCCCATGTTCCAGCTTCACCGGCGCCATCCGCGCAATCGCGACCCCGCGTTTCCCCCCATCCACCCCCGCGCCGGGACCCCCCTTCCCTTGTCCCCCGCCCGCCACCTCCCCCGCATCTCGCCCAGGAAGCTTCGTCAGAAGCTCCTGCTTAAACTTCTCTACTGTCCCCTTAATCATCTCGGTACACTCACCCCCGTTTACAGTCACATTCTTATCGGTGGACAGGAGCTTTGTGACCATATCGAGCAGCGCAGTTGCTTCCGCTTCAACTGGTGACGTGGCATTGGCGACCGGCGCGCGTTCAACGCCAAGTGTCACCGCCTCGTTTGAGGGTGAAGTCAGCTTCGCGCCGCGCGACGCGCAACCATCCGCTCCGTTCCCCTTTAGAGCGCGCAATTCGGGGGGAGGCGCAAGCTCAGATTCCCGCAGGCTGCCTGCCTGTCCGTTCGCTTCCGCGTGTCCTCGTCCCAACGCCAACGTTGCGCCTGCCCCTTGCGCCGCCGATTCATCGCCCTGCTCTCCCTTCTTCACGCCTTGGCGGCGCTCGCGCCTCTCCGCGCCCGCACCTGCAGCCTTTGCGCCTTCCGCCTTGCGCCCGCCTTGGAGCGCCCAGAGCTCCGCCATGATCGCGGGAAACGTCGCTTCCCCCTCGAACAGCGCAACAACCGGAGATTCGCCGCCAACGGCTCGGCTGGAAGAGAGACCGGCGTAGAAACTTGACGGCGCCGGCAATTCCGCGGCAGAAAACGGCGCACCAGCCGGCCGCGCTGAAGGAACAGATACTCTGGGCGACTGCGCGCCACGCGCGAAGCTCTTCTTCCCCGCGCCGCCCGCTGAGCGCCTTTGCGCCGGAGGCGGGCGCGGGCTCGCGGGGACTTTGGACTGGCAGCGCTGCTCGTTTTGCGGCTTCGAGTGTTTCTCGCCGGTTTTTGCGGGTCGTGGCGACGGCTCAGCGCCGTCAGCTGACGGAAATCGTTTGTCGGACGGATTCCGTCGACTTTCGCTAACCGCAGCAAGATCTGCGTTCGGGCCGAAGAGAGCAGTTAACAGCGCGTTCGCCTCCTCAAGGGCGCGCATCTCCTGCGCGGACGGCGCGGGCGTGGCGGAACATGGTCCCTGCGCCACCACCTTTGCTCGTGCGGGAACCGTGCCGGCGTGAACGCCGCTGGACGTCGGGGGAGTATTCGGGGAAGCGGGCGGAGAGTGCTGGGCGGAAGGCGAAAATTCGGGGACCTTGGCGGAAGCGGGTTTCGCCCCAAGCGGCGCAGCTTGCGCGGAACCTGCGCGCGGCGTCTGCGCAGGCGAGGCGGAGGCGGCGGAAACGGCGCACGCTGAAGCACTGGCGAGGGGGAGAGCGACCGCCGGCCATTGGCGCTTGGGCTTGGCGGCCGCCGCCTCAAATGGCGGCCATTGCTCCGTTTTGACCTGCGCCGCTTTGCGCAAGGCGTCCGCCCATCCTCCGCCCAGCGCCGCCATTCTGGTTCGGTAACTCGGGAGCGGATCTTTAGAATCTTCAGATGTAAAAAAAAAAAAATCGAAGTAATAAGCACAGGCTTCCGTATTTGAAGCTTGAGATTAAGTCTCTGGTAGTGTCGTGCGCTCGAACAAGCGTAAAGATAACTTGGATCTGAGGAGGCCTGGGAACAGGTCGTGTCGGTGCAGACTGTTCTGCGTTCCGTCTTACGGTAGAGTGCGTATGAGAGAAATTGGTCGAAAGAAAAGCTTGGGGCTTCACATCTGCCGCAACTGCCGCGTATTCTTGAACTATGTGTCCCACAGGTCGGCAGCACACCGCGACTGTTCCGCTTGAAGCGGTGAGGGAAGCGCGGGCCCTGTGGGCCCGGAAGGGCAGGTTATGCTGTAGTGGCGCAGATGAAGCGGGCGCGGGGAAATGAAGCGCAACACAACCAACGCGAAAATCGCTGGGGAGGTGAGAGAGCAAGGAGTTGGGACCTCAGACAGAGCGAGACAAAACTGAGGGGGTAGGGAATGGAGATTGTGTCAAGAACTGCCCGTTGCAGCTGCATCTGCGACTCTGGTCGAAAGCAGAAACAATATTTGTCTATTACACCAGGCGCCGCAACTATTTTCGTTCCTGCTGACCAACCAATGCTGGTCTGAACTTCACTCGTAGATGCGGGATAAATCTGCTTTATAAAAAAACCTTGCAAGGAAAAAGTTTGACTTTTTGTTCCATCCCTTTTCACATTCTGTCCGCATTTAGGAGGGGAGGCGACGCGTTGCCTGTCATACCGAAGGTGAAACGAAACCGGCCCAGCCGCCGCATGTATCGGCTCTTCAAGATTCACCTGACAACAAAGCAGCAGACCCCTGAGAGGAAGAAAACCCAACATGACCATGGCACCTGAATTCATATGAAGTCATAGTTGTTCCACATTACTTCCTATTAATGCAATTTGACTATATATTCTAAATCATAAATACTATATTGAACTCCACCGGCATTATGATCTGCGAGTTTGTGATGTGTGTTGACAAGAAAGGCCACGCCCTCCCTTGGGCGAAGCCTATTTCGTCGGCTGGGCTTCGTGGTCAACGCAACTTGAACGAGCAAGTTGACGGGCTTGGGTTAGCCGATTTCGGCGAAGCTGGCTTCGAATGTGGCCGACGAAGGAGGTCTGCGGTAGCGTCCGACTTCGGTGGTTGCCGACATGATATCAACTTACGGACGTCGACCTGCTGCTGCTGGTGTTACCCGACCATCGGATGTCGACGCCGACTTAGCGGCCTCTTCTTGTTAACCTTGTAACTGGTCGGGGAAATTCGGCGAGGCTGCGCGAACTTCGCCACAGGTGGTTTTGGCGAAGTCGACCTGCGCGTTGAGCATCACATGCTCGACGACCTTGCATCACGTGCTCGACGACCTTGCATCTGTGCAATGTGCATGACGGTGCACGACGTGCACTCAATCGTCTACCTGCACATACTTAGTAGGTGCGCACATGCGCGCACGTCATCAACTGCAGTTGCGACGTCGGTAGGCATCACCATCGGCTGTGCCGCTAGCAAGCCCCCTTGCTGCAGTGTTGGCAAGCCGCCTTCCAGACGTGTTGACACTTTGTTATCTTGCAGCGTTGACAAGCCGCGTTTGTGCTATGCTGTTAGTCGACTTGCTGGTTGCTAGGTTGCCTTGTATTCTTGCTGTATCGGCTTTGTCATAACATTGAGTCCATTATTGATCTGTTTTTCCTTATGAAACTCTTGCCAAATCTTCCCGTGAACACACAAGTTTGCACAAAAGCTAACGAACGCTACAATAATCCATATAACCCTGTAGCCCCCCAAGTAGTCCAGCTACCATTATAGAGTGACTCTCCACATGGTGCGGTGAGTGTGGAGAAGACCAGGGTTCAATTCCTACTATCGACCGACTTCCAGTGCCCTCATGGTGAGCCTTCTCAGTGAGGGGAGTGTTGCAAGTTGACACCGGATTGGCCTGAAATAGTTTACCCAAAGGCTGTAAGTGTAGTTCGAAAGGGTGGGGAATGTGTGCATTGACCCGCCAAGAATGCATGCCCTTTTATCAGCTAGTTAGCAAGCTAGAGCTATCCCTGCGATTACAAGAGAAAGACCGCGCGGTACTCCTCATGCTCGTTAGCAATAGCAGTAGAAGGAAGAGCAGCACGACATGGAGGGCGGGGAATGCACAAGTGGCATGTTCGTACAGCGCAATCTCTTGGTGAAACTGACTCTATAGGGAGAGATTAACCTAGATCAGCCGTGATTGCAAGTTCAGTACACGACCCTCCGCATCGAAGCGAAGGAAAGATTTGGACACCATAGTAGGAGGAGAAGCGGGGGAAAACAACTACAATAGGCGGAAGGGGCAGGCGGTTCGGGCATCTGGTGTGGCTAGGCTGGCTCGAGTAGTTAGGGCAGCCCGGGCGGCTCAGACGGCTCGGACAGTTTCAAGTGGCAGCGACGGCAGTTACGAATGGCTCTTACAGACACGGCGGTAGGCACGAGTGGAAGGTGCGGAGAGACACTCTACACTGGGAGCTGGACTACGGGGAAAGCATGGGTTCTAGGAGTGATTGTAGCATTGCTTAGTGTTCGCTTGTATTCTCTCTACAAACACATTTACGGGAGGAATTGGCAAGAGTTTTCACTAGCAAAGATTGTATTGTAGAATGATTGAACAAGCAATAGCAAGAACGAGTACATCGGAGCCTAGCAACCTAGCTGCCAGACAGGTCGACCGCCAACACAGCATAATCGAGTGCCTGCCAGCGTTGCGTAGAGGAACCGCACCAGCACTACAGAAAAGTGGTCTGCCGATACAGCTGGTCGACGGTGTGCCAACGCCGTGAGGAGAATAGGCGATTATGGGAGAGCCTAGGTGCAGAGTTGCAAACCGGAGACTTGGTGTAAATTGAATACCGACTTGTTGGAAACTAAATACTGGTATTCGGAAACCACAGCTTGGTATACAGTAATTGAAGAACCGAAATTGATTTATTGATTAATTGATTGATTTCAACAAAAACCAACATGAAACTTATAGAGAGAGATATAGTGACGTGTGAAAGAACGTTCTACGAGAACGTTGTTCATGAAGAACGTTGTTCAAGGAGAACGTGCAAGCACCTACTCTAGTATGCGGTTCCAGGTTGGCACCGCCAGGTGAAAATACCATTAGGTGAAAATACCATCAGGTGAAAATACCATCAGGTGTATTTCTACTTGCCCAGGAATAGATGCGCAGGTTCTTGCAACACTGACAGTTGCACACAGATATGAGGTAAGCGAAACCGGTATGCGGTATGCAAAGTCTCGCTACTCCGCATAGGGCTGCTACACGCGAAACCAGGCGCGTGCAGGGCTTCGCCTTAACACACTGCAGCAAAGCGCCCGTCCAGTGCTTTCACCCGTAGATGACAGCAGTGAGCACGCTCGCAGGTGCTTGGAAACGATTAGCCCGACATGCACAGTTATGCGTCATGTTGGTTGTTGTCTATACGTGATGAGCCACATCGACTCTGGAATATCATCCCGAAGTCGCTTTCGCCATCGCAGCCTCGACGACGTTCACATGCCTCCGCAGAACCTCGTCAAGTAGGTTACCTGGTCGACCGGGTCGACCACGCAGCGCCCTGGTTGACGACCTCCTTCATCGACCACTGTGCCCGTCGTAGACCACCCTAGTCCGTCGACCAACTCGGTCATTTGCTGCCGTCGAGCTCCGTCCTCGACGGCCCTCACAAGTTCCGCGCTAATCGCCGAACTGCTTCGTCGACCTCCCATGTCAAATTAGGCCGCCGGCTTCCCTTCGTCGGCGGCATCGCAACGGTCCCCTGCAGGTCGACCAACTCCGTCGACCTGCACGTGTCGAACTCTGCGGATGGTCGGCCATACCTCCCGTGCATTTGACCACAACGTCGGCTTCGCCCAAGCGAGGGCGAGGCCAACATCCTAATCCCGTCGACAGAAGGCATAGGTGACAGGCACGGGTAAGAGGGACGGGAGGGAGGCACGGGCGGCAGACAAGGGTATGATGCAGCAGTAGGCGGCGCGTGGGCTGCAGGCTGCAAGAACGGGTGGCAGGCAGGCGGCGGGCAGCACGTAGACGGTGAGCTGCAACAGCAAGCGGCGCGCAGGCGGCGGGCTCTAGCAGCTGTGTCAGGTAACTGTCGACAGGTAAATGGCGGTCTGCAGCAGCTAGCGGCATGCAGGCAGCGGGTCGTTGCAGCGAGCGGCACACGGGCAGCGAGCTGCAGCAGCGGGCGACTTGTACAAAAGAGGAGGGTGGGGAGGCAAGAGAGGCGCGCAGAGGGCGAACAGCAATGCGAGCACGCGATGGCAACGTCCATGACGTGCGAGAGTGGCGGGCTCCATGTGCTATACGAAGGGGCGCTCTCGATGCGCTCTAGGGAACGGGCTAGGGGTGGGCAAAAGTAGGCTAGGGTTGGCATATCGGAAGTGCAAACCCTAGACCTACTCTTTATACCATATGAATATAAAATAACAACACTGAATGGTCTCGATTGACAGTATGCATGCATACAACTATGCAAAGCCTAGCATGGCAAAACCAGCCTATTGAAAGTATGCTGGTATAAGCATGGGAGTAGTTTGGCAGAATCGTCTGCTTAGAGGCTTTTCAGACACATCTGTCGTTCCCTCTCCTTGAACCAGACACTTATCATTTAGAAAATTACTTATGAAGGTTAAGTTATGACTAACTCATGCTCTCCAACATCAGAGTCAACAGAGAGCTACACATGCTCCCCTTCATGGATGCTACCACATGGTGAGGCTGGATGGCAGATGTAGAATGGTAAACCTTCGAATTGTGGCTTAGCTAATGTCAGTTAGCACGACAACTGATATGGTGAACAAGTTGTGATGCAAATTTTTTCTATGCCGAAATACAAGTCTACTTGGGCAAGAAGGGTATTGAGCACTGTCCCTCCTTACCTTTCAGCCATGGACAGTTAGAGTTTTTTTTTAAGGTT